GTCTTCGAGTGAGATCAGGAGGAATGAACAGAATACCCTATGCTTTCGCAAGCATAATTCATGTTGTGATGTTCCTTCTTGGTAAGAATTATCAAACACCGATTAATGTTATCGTTATTTCGATTGACCCGACGTAGAGGTAACTATCAGTTTAAAGTTTGTTGAATACCATATGGTTTCGCAAGCATTTTTCATGTTGCGACGTTCCTACTTGGTAAGAATTATCTAACGCTGATTAATATTATCATTATTTCGATTGACCCGACGTAGAGGCAACTATCAGTTTAAAGTTTGTTAATCGTTTGTTGGAACGTCAAACGAAAAAAACGGGGTCCTTATTTTCTAATTTCCTCTGTTAAATTATGTCAAATACTGACAAAAACTACACTCTTAATTTGAAACTCCTTCAGGTACAAAATGAAATATGCAAATATGTAAGAAAATTTCTATTTTTATAGATCAGTGCCGCCCTTAAAAGTCAATTTATAACGAAAGGTAGAGTCAAAACATCTGAAAAACACCTTGAGTTTTTAGTGTTATGCTAACGACCAAAACGGACATGCTACCGAAGCAGAACTTGCAGTAGTTTATCACGTCAAAAACACCTCTACAAAGAGGATACAACGCTACCTAAATATCGTTTAGAAGTGTACTTAGTCGATCGCCTTTATTATTCCGCGAGAAGTGGGAGGGTCTTCGAAAAGGCGAGGCTACATTTCCTTCGCGATCGATTTGAACCACACGATTTTATTATTTTAGAAGCAGTCGGTATAATCTTCGTTCGCTTTTCAGAACAAGGCACTGTAGGAAAGCGCCGTGAACTGCGTCAACCAGATGTTGTCAGTCAAGCTTCTAAATGTCAGCTAAAAAATATGCAACTTAACAAAAGGTACAGTCTAACGGTGCTTTGGGTCGAAAGGATTTCCTCATGATGATTACAAAAAAAAAAAAAAAAAGGCTTGGAAATAAGACTCATTTTTCTCACGGCAATAAACGCATCGAATAGGCTTTATGCTTAAACACGTGCTATCTAAATACGTGAGGCTTAGTTCGAAGCCAAAATGACGAGCATCTTGGATGTAAATAAAATTTGAAATCTGCGCAAACTATACGATCAAGGAATAAAAGGGGGTAAGTTTCTAAAGAAACTTTGGTGCTGCGTCGGTGGGAGAGTATAACAGGTAATTTAGTGTTAACAAATGAGTTGAAAACGTAACTTAGCCACCATAAATGGTAAAAAAGCTGACGTTTCGAGCGTTAGACCTTCGTCAGAGCGATTGGAGGAATTGTGGGTTTATATGCAGAAAGTGGAGTTACGCCATTGATTGGAATATGGTAACGAGAAAACAGGAATAAATTAGTTGAATGAAAAGCGCGAGTTGATTCCATGGGGATTAAGGGTGCCGATTTGGAAGATAAATTTTTGTTCTAGGGTTTTGCGGCTTTCCGAGCTGCCTAGATGTAAGGAAAGGCCGCAGACTGCCACACGCTGTTTAGAATGATTAGGGAGATTAAAGTGTCTAGCGATTGGTTTGGATGCGTCCTTGTCATTTCTTTTCACGTCGCGAACGTGTTCTCGGAATCGGTCACATAGTCGTCTTCCTGTTTCGCCGATGTATAACTTATTGCAATAAGATCTTATAGCTAACAAAGAATTTATGGCCATTGCTAAAAATCTCACTATCACCACTCCTAGAACTTCGTGTATTTACTTTTTACCTAAAATCCACAAACCTAACAACCCAGGTCGACCCATCGTTTCTGCCTGCAGTTGTCCCACCGAACGTATTTCCAGCTATTTAGAAAAAATTATGGCACCTATCGTCAAAACTTTACTGTCTTACATTAAGGACAGCCAACACGCACTTGAAATTTTTCGTGACTTTAGTTTCCTCGGCCAAAACAAACTTATTTTCACTATGAATATAACAACTCTCTAAACTGTCATTCCCAATGACGAAGGTCTCCGGGCCCTCAAACATTTTTTCCATCATCCCACTGTTAAAGATTTCAACCTAGCTCTGAAACACTACACCGTCTTGCCGAACCAGTACTCACACTTAATTGCTTTTCATTCGGTGGTAACTATTACAAACAAACTAATAACGTGGCTATGGGTACTAAAATGGGACCCAGCTACGCCAATCTTTTCGTAGGTTTTATCGAAAATCAATTTTTTAGTCAATACCACAGCCCAAAACCTGAACTCTACGGCCGTTACATTGACGATTGTATCGGCGCTACCTCCTCTACCAGAGAGGAGCTCACTAAATTTACAACCGCCGTCAATTCCTTTTATCCGGCTCTTAAATATACCTGGGAAATTTCCGACACTTCTTTGGCTTTTCTAGACATCAAAATTTCAGTTGAAGGCAACGGTTTATGCACTAGTGTTTAGTTACTCGTTGTATTCATCTTCACATCCATCACACGTCAAGAACTCCATACCTTTATCACAGCTTCTCAGACCTCGTCGTTTATGCGGTGACGACTCTGATTTTTCCGAAAAATCAGAGGCAATATGCCAGTTTCTCGATAAACGTGGCTATCCTGTTTCTGTCGTTCAAGTGGTTTACCACCTTGCCCAACAAATTGATAGACAGTCAGCACTACAAACAGCTGAGAAGGAAAACACTGACAGCATTCCATGTACTCTCACATTTCACCCTCACAACCACGCAGTTTAATCTATCATTCTTAAAAGTTTTAAATTACTCCAAAACGATTTAGAGACTGGCACTATCTTTCCGCAACCCCCACTTATTTCATTCAAACGCGACAAAAACATTGGCAACTTTTTAGTCAGGAGTTCATTTAAAACCAGTGACCAATCTGGAACTTTCAAATGCGCTCGCTCACGATGAAAAACTTTTTCTTTCGTTCCTAACGTAGAGAAAATATCGGGACCTAAGAGATCAATTAAGACCACTGATCACTTTACGTGTATAAACTTGCACTTATTGCAATAAGTTATACATCGGCGAAACAGGAAGACGATCAGGTGACGTGGAAAGAAATGACACGGACGCATCCAAACCAGTCGCTAGACACTTTAATCTCCCTAATCATTCTAAACAGCATATGTCAGTCTCCGGCCTTTCCTTACATCAAGGCAGTTCGGAAAGCCGCGAAACACTAGAACAAAAATTTATCTTCCAAATCGGCACCCTTAATCCCCACGGAATCAACGAGCGCTTTTCATTCAATTAATTATTTCCTGTTTTCTCGTCACCATATTCCCACCAATGGCGTAGCTCCACTTTCTGCATATAAACCCACACACAACCCACAATTACTCCAGTCGCTCTGACGAAGGGCTAACGCTCGACACGTCAGCTTTTTTAACATTTACGGTGGCTAATTTACGTTTTCAACTCATTTGTTAAAATTAAATTACCAGTTATACGATTAATGCATCGGCTTTTTTTCACGTTATCAATTTGATGCTTTTTTTTTTATTATGAAATTAGTCCAAAAAAACTACCATTCGAGGATATATGCTTGACTTGAAGCGGAAGTCTCGATAAAAACATTTTCAGGTGTTACATTAATTCTAATGAATAAAAGAGGTAATTGCTAGCCAAGAATAACAACAATGTGAAAAACACGTATATCAAACCGAGATCACAGGCTTCACGATACTTTAGCGTAGCTCCAAATAAAATCTCTCAGACTAACAACTCGTTCCACCGCTACAGCAGTATATAACATTTGCTGTTTCTACATGGTTTGCCAGCTGTTTGCTTTATAAGCCGATTATTTGTCATTTTTTGTGTAATTTGGTTTTTCCTATATAATAATTTCGCTATTCCTGTTATATTTTTTGCGTTCGAGAGAACGTTTACTCTCCGTGTGGCTTCTTTCTGGATGCTGTGCACTTTCATGGATTGGGTGCTATCTCAGTGGACTGGCTGACCACTAACCTCGATTTCATGCGAAAGCTTTGAATCCTGCGTGCTGGCTAGATGAAGCCCTTGCCATCTGGATGCCATGGGACGATATGTAGATAAATTGTTACCAGTTGACCATTCGAAATGACCATTGGATCGGACCATTCGAAATGATAGATAGATCGGAACTGTGTGCCACGCAACCATCAGATATTCGTAGGTTTGAACACACCGCTAGATCGATGGTTCTTTAGTAGTCAATGATTATTACTAGTTGTTATTGGCATCATTTCCATTTAAGGTAACATTTTTTTCCTTTCCTATCCTGCAGTTGTTCAAAGCAGCTGGGCAATGGCAGAACGAAGTAAGTTCCTTGCTATCAGCTAGCTTGAGCAAAGTAAAAAAGAGATGAATGAATAAGATAAATCTCAAGTGGGTTAAAGGACTGTTAACTGGTCAATTCATTTCACTTTGTCCAATAGCTAAGTGTTCATTTACTTTATTTCACTGCAATGTTTAATTTCCTGCAGATCATGAGTGTGTAACTGCTCCGTTCTTGAAGCAGAGTGAATGTACTGGTTCCAACTGCATAGGACTTCTTAAGAGTAGATGGCACAGGATAAAATGCTTTCCGTTCTCCACCAGCGGTAGCAAAGGTCTATGCTCTAATTGGTGCCATGAAGGAGGGACATCCACTCAGCCTTGCTTTAATGCATTTCATAAATTTTCTTCAGATCAAATCTGTTTCAACAACGGCGACGAAAAACTCAAATTTGAAGTAGTACACTGCAGATCTTTCGAGTTTAAAATCAGGTTAAAATCGATGGATCCCAGTAAGTATTTTACTACACTTTTTCTGTTTGATCCTTTCTACTTTGTTGTTTTATTTCTTCTTCTTTTTCTTCTTCTTGTTATTATTATTATTATTGTTATCTTTATTATTATAATTGTTGTCATCATTATTATTATTACTATTACTATTATAATTTTTTTGAGATCATAACTCTTCTATGATTTTTTCAAATTGGGATGCTAAGGGAAAAGAAAGCCAAAAAAACAATTCCAGGCCTTAATTCCGTTCACCTTTAGCATAACTATAACTGTTTAGCGATGCCAGTTATGAACCGTGTTTTTGCAACACCTTATCAGTCAGAAAAGACAGGAAGACTGCAAGTTTATGGTAGGCGTTAAATTTTGCTTACAATGTTGGCTTTTGCCCAGTGTCTATTATAATGCTTATATGAACCGGAAGTTTTTGATCCCGGATGTTCTCTAGGAACTAAGGGATGTCCAAACCATCATGGCGTCCACTGATGATCACATGTAGCATGTCTGTTTTCAACTGTTTATTAAATCGATGTTAATCTTGTACATCCTGTGCTAAAGTATATTCAAAACCTCACATCTGTAAGCTGCTCAGAATTCTACAGCCAAACAGTGTAATTTTCAATTGAGTAGACGTAGTCAAACCCCTTTAAAATTCCTAATATAAAGTACGAATACCACTTAGCGTCAGTCCTTTTGCTTGATATAATTTTGATTTTACGCTTTTTATCTCCCTGGCTGTTATTCTAGACACAACTGAAGTAAAAAACGTTACAATTTCACCAATCATCAATTTATCCCTCAAGTATGCAAAAAAAAAATCAGCTGTTTTTCAATGACCTCCGCATACCGGTCCGACGATTCCACGACATGTATCTATTTGAAGAATTTATATTTGTACTGCCAGAAAGTGAACGTTATAAATCCCGAATTCATTGATGTCGATAAAGATCTGAAAAAAAATAGTCTTCAACTGATTTTTCGACCCCGTGACCTCATCACCGGATGTTCCAACTCTTAACAGGGATGTCCAAACCATCATGGCGTCCACTGATGATAACATGTAGCATGTTTGTTTTCAACTGTTTATTAAATCGATGTTAATCTTGTACATCCTGTGCTAAAGTATATACAAAAGCTCACATCTGTAAGCTGCTCAGAATTCTACAGCCAAACAGTGTAATTTTCAATTGAGTAGACGTAGTCAAACCCCTTTAAAATTCCTAATATAAAGTACGAATACCACTTAGCGTCAGTCCTTTTGCTTGATATAATTTTGATTCTACGCTTTTTTATTCTAGACACAACTGTTACAATTCCACCAACCATCAATTTAACCATCAAGTATGCAAAACAGCTGTTTAGAACTTCAATCCAAAGCATTTGGTCCGACGATTCACGCACATATTCATCAAAGGATAAAAAACTGGAGGATACTGTCTTTGCTGCGTACATCTTTGAAGAATTTATATTAAGCACTGCCAGAAAGCGGCTGAACGTTACAAATCCCGAATTCATTGATGTCGATAAAGATCTGAGTAAGTGCAAAATAGTCTTCCCTCTTTTTTTCCGAAATGAGCTTCATCATGTACGAGTTCAGGCAAGCGATACTTGTACGGTAAGAGCCAGCACCACTATCCTTTACATCAGCTAAAAAGAAGGAAAATTCTGATATTTCTTCGTCTGCAGTATCAGAAGCATGAACTGTGGCTTGCAATTCTATAATCTGGGAATGACTGCACGCAAAATCATAAGTTGGGGGAAATGCAACTGAATAAATTCTAGTCATGCGGGTCATTGCACGTACTGAGCACTCACATGCCGTTGTACTCTGTAGGCAAGTGAAATATATGTTGACGCTGTAGCATTCGCATCACATATTTTGCTTTTTTATCAATATAGACTTTCGAGTTAGACGCAATGCCCTCCAGAGAGGAGATGACTTTCTGTTTAATGGAAGCAGTCGGGGGAACTTTATTAAGATTCCCTTAGCTAATCCGGATAGAGGTAAAAACCCTTCCTTGTTTTTAGTCAGTTTATTTCAAGGCAATTGCCCATAATTTCTTGGTCAACTCTTCAGTGGAAATGGCTTCATTCCGACGTGCAATACCAGATTTGCAATATGCACTAGTGTGCACTTAATACAGTGAGTTCTTGTTTTCTTTTTCCCTTTTTCCCTCCATCTTAGTCCAAATCGGTTTCTGTTTTGAAATTTCGCAAGCCTCTTTCTTTTCCTTTCTTTTCTCTTTTTTGAATACGAAGAAACTTTATGCTTTTTGAAAAATTTTGAATAATGCGCTTTTTCATGATTCAGCTGTCTGTAATGACATTGGTGCCCAGAGCATAGGCCATGGTCGTTTTTCAAAAAAAAATTACATCTTTGGAAACCGAAATCAATACATTTCTCATCTCCCTTTTAAACAGATTCCACAGTACTTGGGATCGAATACAACAAACTTTCTAAGTTTTTATTAAACTATTCAGATGACACCGAGAGAGACAACAAAACAAAGTATGTATATTTTATCTTGATAACTGAAAATGGAATAGTAAAAAGCATTTTACTATTTTTTGATCATTCAATCTGTTTTATTTCAGGATACTGGACAGCGTAATTATGTCCGCCGTAATAGACCCTCCGCCCAAGGTTCTACCGGAAAACGTCACATTGGTTTTTAAGAACATGCAGGTATATACGCTACTCTTTCGTTATGTTTACTCTTTTTTTAATTGAATCGGCGTTTTCTTGTTTGTTTGTTTGTTTCTTTGTTTGTTTCATGAAAGGGAAACACCAATAGTCCATTCATTCCTTATTTGGGTGACTATGTTGTCATCTTTTCCCTCAGTTGAAACTAAGTTTTGATGACTGGCTCATAATTTGAAAACTGCTCGAGACTTGATTAATAAATGAGCATTACATCCCATAAGGCTTCCTGCAATTTTTTAAATTTCGTCAACCTGAAGCCACCATAGAGGGGAGTGGGGGGGAGGGGGAAGGGAGGGAGGGGACTATCAGACACTGGCAGCCCTCCTCGATTTTACATCGAAGACTTGAGGAATTCGAATTGAAAAACAAATTAACAAATTCTTTTTTGCTGAATAACAAATTTAGACCTCATTAATGGAGTGGTCCCAGAGACCTTAATGTTTAGAATTACCTTTTAACTTGGAGGGTAACATTCATATTCTATCTCTATGACGCCTTACCAGTCAGCTACTAGTAAGGTATCACCGAGGCGAGCGCTGAAGCCTCGCTATATTAATCTTTCAATCACAACACTTGATTCCTTTTTCCCTTAGGTGAATCGCAAAAAAAGAACATGTGTATTCTGGAGCTTCTCAGAAGAAAAGTAAGCATCACAGTAACATAAATTATAAACAGCGTGAATTCTTCCGGTTTTTTATCTGAAAGGAAGCGAAAAGTATCAGAAATCACTTTAAAGCAATTAGTAGAGTGAATTGAATTCTTTTCAGGTGGAGGGGGGAGGGGGTTTCCAATCGAATGAGTTATTTTAACTCCTTTCTCCTTGTCTGATTCTTTTTAAAGCTTTGGGAGTTGGTCAAGTGAAGGATGTCAAACAAAGATGATATCTGATCACCATACTGAATGTGTTTGCAATCATCTAACCCACTTCGCCGTGCTCATGGAATTCACCGACAATGCCGACGAAGGAAAGGTGAATATTTTTTTCTCTTCTACAAAAAAAATTCATACGGATTTAAAAAGGTACACAGTGGCATTAAAACTATCGCATTTATTTCTATTTATTTTTATTTATTAATAAAAACATTTCCTTTGATACAGATAAAATAATTATGACCTTTACAGTTTTTCAATCAGGATAAAACTCGTTCGTCAGGTGAGCATGACAAAATACTGACATTCGTCACTCGAGTAGGGATGGCTTTATCTCTCACCGGAGTCATACTCACAATTATCAGCTATCTTCAGCTCACGTAAGTACGCTAAATTAACACCGATATCTTACTGAATTGTGGAAAATTAACTATAAGGAAAATGAGTCATCAGATCAGTTCTGGATCGATGTCAGCACAGACCGCTTGTAGCTGAAAAAGAAATCAAACGTTCTGAGATGATCTTTCTAATTTAATTTAATTTATTTAGCTTCGCCTAATTATCTTAGGCGGGGAGACCACTACAGCTTTAGCCAATTACAGTGGACCCCGCGTTAACAATGACAAGGCCAGACCCCCCAATTCCCAGTAAACAGGCCAGACCACATCACAGTAATCTCGTGAGTGGGTTCTTTAACGTCCCCTGCCTAACCAAATTGACTAATTAATAGAAGCAGGAGACGGGACCTACGGTTTATTCGTCTTTATCCGAGAAGACTAGAATGTCTATCCATTTCTTGACATTATAGAATGGTAGCACATTCTCCTCAGTTATTTTAAGACCTTGAGTGTTGGTCCGGCCGGGGACCATTTTCTTAAAAAATGATATCTCACCAAGGAGTGAAAATAGCTTCAAATTAACGTTAGTGTAAAATAGAAACTGTCTAGTCAGTATTCTTTTATCCATTCGTTATTCACTAATTAATTCATGTAAAAAATGTATTCTGTCAGCGGATTTATTCATTCATTTGGTGGATCATTTGCAATTGTCTTTTTGATGTTTTTTTTACAATTCATTGACCTTAGTTCTGTTTTTGTCTGACTTCTAAATCAATTTCATTTAGTTGCTGTTTATTGGCTTGTTGTAGAGATAGAAATTCACCTTTGTGTCACATACGGGTTAGTCTGACTTCCTGCATTGGAGCAGGCCATATCATCTTTTTCGCTGGGATCGACTCCACTGCAAACCAGGTGACTTTTTGTACTCCTACTTTCGTGTTGGTCATTTAATGTTACTGTTCTTGTGCTTGTTTGTTTGTTTGTTTTTTTAATTTGGTCCAGCTTCTTAACGATTAAAGACTGACTGATCTATCGAGTGATTCTTTTCTCTTGTTTTTTTGTTTGTTTGTTTGTTTGTTTGTTTTGCATGTTTTCTATATTGTAGTTTTGCCTTGTTCTTTCTGTTTACGTTGGTTTTTGTTTCTTTCTATTTTTCTGGATTATTATTTCGGCAAATGCCACTTGTCGGGCAAATTATTACATTTTTACCAATTACCTATTCCTTGCAGGCTGCTTGTGTAGCTGTGGCAGCTCTTATGCAGTATTTCCTGATGGCCAGTTTTTGCTGGATGCTTGTCGAGGGGATTTATATCTACTTATTTGTTGTAAAGGTTTACAACATTACCGATAAAATGCATCGTTATCATGGCTTTTGCTGGGGTGAGGAGCATCGTCAAGAAATGGGAAAAATGGGATAGGACTTGAACAAATACTTGAGGAAATGTCTCGATTCTGATTTGGCAAAAATTAAACCGAACAAAAATATTTTTAAAGGACTTTATTTGTTAATTCTTTAAATGAACACGCGCTTTTTTCGGAAACCGTTGGATCGTCTTCAGGTGTACCTGAGTTAATCCTAAAATATTTCTAGTGCTCATTAGAGCTAGTTATAGTTGCAGATATAGTTGGCTGAAATCACGCAGCTATGGCTAATTAGCAGTGTTTTAATAATTTCATACCCACAATCAAAAGGTTTCAAGAGTTAAAAACATAAAAAAATCACATGGGAAATTCATATAACAGCGCAACAACTTACGGTCAGTGGTATATTAAAACCATTAACTTCTACAGTTATCAGCTCTGGCAAATGTAATAACACTATAACTCGATTGTTTTCGCTGTAATGTCTTACTTAAACTGGCAGCCTTTCATCATTACTTTCCTCAGGACTGCCTGCAATTATAGTTGCTGTATCTCTGGTAATCGCTGCAGGAAATGATGGAATCGAAACTTTTGTCAATGATGAAAAGTAAGTTTGAAAGTTTGTTTATTTTATTGACTGTATACAAAATGGTCGAAGCCCAGGGAATGCTAGGACTTAATAACAGAAACCTGCAGCCTCAATAACTGGCCTCCCCCCTCCCACACACCCACTAGGCACCCCCTCATTTCAAGTTGTGGATCTCTCCATGTATAAGAGTAGGAGAGGGAGAGTTTCTAAACCAGTATCCAAGATAGCGTCTTTTCGTAATTTTGCAGAGTCATATAAAGGCAACATGCTGCATTAAAAATGGATTTTGATTTGACATTCTGTTAAGAAAAGCCTTTAAATGCTGCCGTTAATGTAGAAAAAATATATTAAAAGTCTGTTTGTGCCTTTTATTTTTCTAATTCTAAGCTGCTGGATGTCCTCCTCTAACGATGTCATCTGGATATTTGTTTCCTTTGTTGGATTCGTCTCAATCGTAAGTGGCAACAGTTTGAATTTCTTCAATGGATATGAGTTTAATCATCTAAAGATATTTGTTTCAAAGTTGATTATAACAGCATCTCGACAATCATTTCTGTTCTTCTTCTTCTGAATAGGAATGAGTCTGTGACTCTTTGAAAGACCTCTTTAAAAAATTACAACATAAGCTAGTGCAGCAAAAGTATCCGATATTTCATTTTTTCTCTTTTCATATCCTCCATCTTCTTTTGTTTTCCCTTTTAATCCCTGAAGATTAACATGACGATCCTCGTGCGAGTTATAAAGGAAGTAACAACAATCCAACAGGTGAAGGATAGCCCGACTGAGCAGATCAGGTGGGCTAATAATAGTTACTTCTCCCGCCTCTTGAATGCTTCCAATCAACAAACAATCTCGCATCATAGCTTGTTACAAAGAAAAACTGGCCTGGAATTGATGGGCTTTGAATGACGCCCTAGCACATAAAATATAGCGCGTTTTCGCTGGACGACCTTCAAACTGCTTCTTTTGTCACTCCCGAGATTATATCGCGACTATTCATTGCCTTCAATTTAAGCTAAGAGTTTTCAATTTTTCTTTATATCGATTTCAGATGAACGCTTTTGTTTTCCAAGTGACTA